GCATCTCGATATGATAATGAAGTTCACAAGCCACGCCCCCAAATTGGTCCCATAGACTTCCATTAAAATAGGCCTACATGCATATCTTTGCTTTGCAGTGTCCTATTGACTTGGGGGTTGGCTCATTTGACTTGGACAGCCAACCACATTAAAGTTCACTCTGTAACCTCGCCCATAGCAACAAAACAGAGTACCCTAGCAACCATTCATCAACAGCTATATCTCAGCATCGGAACATCGTAGAGACTTGGGGATTGGCTCGTTTCACTCATGCTAGCAAACGGAACTTCCTGTATGCTACACATGCTAGCAGTGACTAGCTACATGCTAATATTGACTAGCCAAGTACTGTAACTTGCTAGAAATGCTTACTAAGTATAATTATTTCATCAGGCATGTATATGAGGCTTGCCTAGTAACCACTCCAGGGTACCCTAGCAACTGCCTAGCAACCACTCAAATTACCCTAGCAACCGCCTAGCAACCACCTAGCAACCGCCTAGTAGCGCCTTAGTAAGGGCCTAGCGACCACTCAGGACACCCTAGCAACCGCCTAGCAACGCCTTAGCAACCACTTAGAATACCCTAGCAACCACCTAGCAACACCTTAGCAACCACCTAGCAACCACTCAGGACACCTTAGCAACCGCCTAGCAACACCTTAGCAACCACCTAGCAACCACTCAGAACACCCTAGCAACTGCCTAGCAACCACCTAGCAACCACTCAGAACACCCTAGCAACCGCCTAGCAACCACTCAGAACACCCTAGCAACCGCCTAGCAACACCTTAGCAACCAACTAGCAACCACTCAGGACACCTTAGCAACCGCCTAGCAACACCTTAGCAACCACCTAGCAACCACTCAGGACACCATAGCAACCGCCTAGCAACACCTTAGCAACCACCTAGCAACCACTTAGGACACCCTAGCAACCGCCTAGCAACGCCTTAGCAACCACTTAGAATACCCTAGCAACCACCTAGAAACACCTTAGCAACCACCTAGCAACCACTCAGGACACCCTAGCAACCGCCTAGCAACACCTTAGCAACCACCTAGCAACCACTTAGAACACCCTAGCAACCGCCTAGCAACACCTTAGCAACCACCTAGCAACCACTTAGGACACCTTAGCAACCGCCTAGCAACACCCTAGCAACCATTTACATTACCCTAGCAACCACATAAACACATGAATTTAACCATTTCTCCACATTTACTGCTATTTTGCCCAGTTTAGTACCATTTTGTACCCTATCGATTTGCCACGCAAACCCCATTCACATTTCCTTTAGGAAATGTACAATTCTAGTTATTATTATTATTCTGGTCCCGGTGTGTGTGTTTGTGTCATCTGCAGCGTGATTTTCATTCTCAGCGTCTCAGTCTAGTTGGTTTCGGATGGCGCTGGAAGGGAACATTCACGTCGCATGTGTGAGCGCACAGTAAGTATCTTCATTTATCGTGTCCTCGTGTCTTGTGTTCTGTTGTGTTTGTGTTGTGTTTGTGTTGTGTTCTGTTGTGTTTGTGTTTGTGTTGTGTTGTGTTGTGTTGTGTTTGTGTTGTGTTCTGTTGTGTTTGTGTTGTGTTCTGTTGTGTTTGTGTTGTGTAGCATGTGGTTTCATGTTTTCATCGTGACAATGTGCTTGTGTCTTGTGTTCTGTTGTGTTCTGTTGTGTTGGTGTTGTGTTTGTGTTGTGTTTGTGTTGTGTTCTGTTGTGTTCTGTTGTGTTGGTGTTGTGTTTGTGTTGTGTTCTGTTGTGTTGTGTTTGTGTTGTGTTCTGTTGTGTTTGTGTTGTGTTTGTGTTGTGTTCTGTTGTGTTTGTGTTGTGTAGCATGTGGTTTCATGTTTTCATCATGACCACGTGCTTTAGTGCCTTGTTTCGTGTGAGCATGCGGCTCTCTCATTGGCTGCGTGTTCTAGTGCTGTTTGTGTGTGAGCACATGGCTTGTGTTGTGTTTTTGTACCATGTGTTCTGTTGTCTAGCGTCTTCTCCCACCCTCCTTGTTATCCTGTTTATCACCATCACCAGCACCCTGACCTGCACTCAGAAGCAGAGGTTGAAGAAGGCCTCTGCTGCAGTGTCGGCTCCAGCCCCAGAGCGCCGTTTAGTGACTGCCCCTGTCCCAAAGCACAGCTCAGCGTCTGCGCCACCCAAGCTCCTAGCCCTGCCGGTCCCAGCCCAGCTTGTTGCACTGCTGCTCTCACCCAGACACCTTGGCCTGCCAGCCCCAGCCCGTCTCCTAGCCCTGCCGGCTCCACCCAGACGCCTTGCCCTGCCTGCTTTCCACAAGCTTCCAGCCCTGCCGGTTTCCCGAAGTCCTCCAGTTCAGCTGGCCTCCCACAACAGGGCTCGAAATTGCGACCATTTTGGTTGCATATGCGCCCCAAATTTAAGTTATGCGACCTCATAATATATATATGTGGGGGCATTCATGCGACTGCATATAATGGTTGTAGTGCGACCTGTTTTTTTTTTTTTTTTTAACATGGTAAAATCGCTCTTCCCTGCATCTATATTGGTTCATATTAGCTGTCAATCACTCGAGACTGTCCGCTGTCAGATGACAGGGAGGGAGCTTTTATGACCACAGCAAATGCAAACGGCTGAAGAGTGAAAAGTGCACTGACTCTCGATGCGCTGCATGCGCTGCGTGTTCAGCCAACACAATCTCACGGCAGTTCATAACATTTTCTTACGTTTCCTCGTGAGATCAGGCTGCAACAATGCAAATGTCCGCTAAAGACCATCGCCAAATAAGCTCGCCTTTACTGAGTTTAAACTGATGCGGGTTATAACAGAGAGCAGTATTGCGCCGGTGGTCATCGGGAGAATCCTGCTCTGCCCCCCTCTTATTGACTCGCATGCTTTCCTGCAAACACAGAAAGATGTAATTCAGCGTGTAACGAGGCTGAGCATTAAAACCACACGAACCCAAACCAAAACTTTTATAAGTGAGACTTTTCTTCCTTTCTTTTGTCGATCTTTCTTGAGGTGTTTATTATGTTTCTATTTAATTACTGATGACCGCTGTGCAGCTTTCAGCATTGAATTGAATGATTTATTATAATATTTCGTTTGTTTTGTAGCAGAAATATTATTTATTAAATTGACACACATATAAAAACAGCAGTACAAAATAAATATTTCTTACTGCAATGCTTCATTTGTGTTTGATGCAAACCATCAATTTATTTTTCATAAAGGAACAGACTTTATATAGCAGATAACTTACATTAAAGCACATTCAAGGCAGCATGATGATGAGAAATATAATCCATTATTAGTATTATTGTCATCATCGTCATCATTAATATTTTATAATTATTAGACATTCATTTTGGAATTATTGCACCAATATTAAATCATCACAGCATTAGTTAGATAGTTGTTTCTGGGTTTTGTTAGTCCTAAATGATGTTGTTTTCAAATACAATAAATCCCTTAATATACAATTTGCAGCGGTGCTCATTCATTTTTGGTGGATGCTCCTACATTTTTTCTGGTGCTCCTAAATATTTCAGGTTGGGAGCACCGGTGATACCAAGTAAGAAAGTTAATTTCGAGCCCTGCACAAGTCTCCAGTCTAGCTGGCACCCTACAGGCCTTCAGTCTGGCTGGCTCCCTATAGACTCCTCTAGTCTGGCCAGCTGTCCTTGGGCCGCCTGCTTTTCTGTCCCATTCTCATCCTCCCTGGGTCGTCCCTCCTGCTCCGCCCAATATATAACTTAAAAACAGCAACTTCAGATTGTTTTCTTTGTTTTATTATGATCAACATAAAGCTGGAGCCCGAGGAGAGTGTGTTGAAAACAGAACAAGCACAACATCAACATTAATCATGAACACCTTACATTTATTAGAAGATTCTAAAGAAGAAAATCACACAAACACACAATGCCTCAGAGATTCACACAACTGTTTCACATATCAGGGTGTCTCATGCAGCACTTTAGTGGGGTTGCATAGCTTATTTGCCCTGCCACCTGACATCTTTTAGTTTTCACCAGTGCATCAATATCAGGCGTCACATGCTGAGTTGCAGCCAGCTTCAGGAAGTGCTCTGTAACATCCACTATGAATGAAAGGTCCTGCCTACATTCTACCAAATGAAACTCTAACACTGGTTTGTCCTTTCCTTCCATAAACAGCTCAATTTCTTCTCACAAACCAAAGAAACGCCTCAGCCCAGCACCTCGGCTTAACTATCTTATGCTGCAACACAAGCTTGCAGCAATTCGTAACTTTTTGATTTAGTGGATAATTCGTATAAATTAGTACAATCTTATTTATACAATTTGGTACAATTTGCTAATCAACCAATGAGGATTGGGTTTAGGGGTGGAGTTAGGTGACACACCTGATTTTTAAAATCGGACATTTTCGTACAACTGAACTCGTATGAATCAGTCACTAAACTGACAAAACCTGAAATAGTTACGTTTCCTCGTGAGAATACCGACGTGTTGTACAGCAGGGCATAGATGTGGTCTTTCTCTTTGAGAAGGCTATCAAACTGACGCTGATTCAGGATCAGATGAAATGAACAGCTTGTGGTTTGCTATTCAGCTCATTTTTATACTTTACAGAATCATCTCGCCGGCCAGATTAAACCCATTTGTTGACCTGATCCGGCCCGCAGGCCGTACGTTTGACACCCCTGCACTAGACTAAACTCAACATTGGCATTAATGAAGGTAAAGAAAATGATAAATGTGGTCACTGTAGAGTTAGAGAAATGGTAGAACGGTATATTGATTGAGGAAATATATGCAAGAGAGGAGGAAATTGATTAAATATTTAAATAATATTGGACATGAAGAGAAACAGAATACACATTAGGGATAAAAGTTAATAACGATAGATTAGGACACAAGGTGTATATATACTGTATATATTAATTTATTCATTTTCCTTCGGCTTAATCCCTTATTTATCAGGGGTCACCACAGTGGACTGAACTGCCAACTATTCCAGTATGTTTTACACAGCAGATGCCCTTCCAGGTGAAACCTAGTACACAAACTTATTCACACACAGACATTCAGGGTAAATTAACTAAAGCTGAAGTCAAAACTATAATAAAGATGCAGACAAAGAGTACAAGGCAGGAACACTGGGATATAAATGACTCAGGAAGACATCTGTATACAATCCAAATGGTAAATGGTCATAACCGCCTCAGAATAGCACATACAGAACTAAACAAGACACTGTGTTTATAGGGAAGCACACACATGACTTATACTCACATAGTAATCAGTGTGAAACATGTGCAGCATGTAATAACAGAATGTCAAGATTATCAATACAAAAGACAAATATTAAGAGAAGTATTTATTAGATATAATCTTACATTTACTCTGGGAAATATACTAGAGTCAACATGTGGAGGCTACAATAATTCCCCTTTATTTATTTAAGCAGCAATGTTTTACCTTGGTTTTATAGTGTGGTTTGTTTTCCCCGTGTTTCTCTCCATGTCAGACTCCTGCTCCGCACTCCAGTCCAGCAGGTGGCGGTAAAGCGCATTTAAGTTTGACAACCGCCAAAACACTGAAGAAGAAGTTGACAAACCGAATGCGTCAAACGAGTTCACATCGTGTTCCTGCTGCACAAGAGCGTCTGTACTTCTGCATGTGAGTTTAACACTTCTACATTACGCTGATTTGTGGAGATGATGAAGGGTTTATATGTGTATAAGCGTGTTTATATGCGTGATTTATAGCACTGTCTGCTCCTGAAGCTCAAAGCCTCAAACACCAATTAAACACGGTCAAAACACGGTCATTTGAACAGAATAATGGGTTATTTTTATCCCTTAAAAGTGTTTGTGCTCTTCTATATCAGACTGACTCGATAATTTCACATCATTCAGCACAAAATAAACTTTAAACAGAGTCAGGAAATCGAAAGTGAAAGCAGATCTTCCGTAAACAGGAAGAATGCGGATGATCTTTAAACTGCGTTTAACTGGTGACGTTTCACCACTAACAGACTACTAACACAGCAAATAACTAATTAAAATAATAAATAGTTGTCTAAAGGGGAAGTTATCATGACAAACACATATCAAATGATCAAATCTGAAATATCTGAGGTGTCAAAACAGGGGTAAAACCAACTAATGTGATCAGTGTATATATATCTGCAGTGAAATGGCTGAAAGTCAGTTTGTGTTGTCCCTCATCATGTGGTCTGTTTCAGTAAGGTGTTGTTAGTGTTCTCCCTCATCGTGTGGTGTGTTTGAGTGCGGTGTTGTTAGTGAAGTGAGCATTGATTGCTATAAAGTGTGCTGTTCTTCATCTCAGTATATTGTCATCTCCAGGTGATGGTCAGCGGCTGATTGTTTCCTGAAAGCTCTGCTAATGTCTGCATTGGTGTTTTAGCTGCAGTATGGCAGAGGAGCGAGTAAAGGACTCTCTCTCAGAGAAACACAGGTATTGACTCTGTTTTTACACCATTATTTCAACACTTTCTCTGAAGAACAAACACCAACAACAATGCACTTATTTGTGTTGCTATTGCCTGATCAAATGATGGACAAAGCTTCAGTTTACAGCTTCAGCAAATGCGTTTAGATCATTCTATCTGTTTCTTATCCAAGGCTGAGTGTACTCTCAGCCGTCTTTATCGAAACTGGTTAAAAACCGGTATAATCTACATTCAGGCAGTTATATTCTTACTATACAAAGTCTATCTTGAATAAAAGTAGAATCACTTTAAAAGATTTTACCGTACAAATGGCAAAATCACTTTAGACATTTTAGACAATATTAACTCCTAGAAATAACAATAGAAACAGTTGCTTCCAGTCCTCAGCCCTCAGTTCCACTCAAGGTCTCCATGACCTCTGAAATAGTTTGGTGGCTTCTGAAAATAGTTATAAAGAGACAGGCAAATGCACTGAACATTCTTATATTAAGCAATGTGTAGTGACACAAATGACCATTTTGTCACTTGACGTGTTGTAGGGTTGTTTCTGACGCGTGAGATCTCAACAAACGAATCATCTTCCAAATACTGCATATCAGGTTTATTTTTTTGCACAGGCAGTTCTCATGGCTCAATTTCCACTCACAGTCTGATATAAAAATGCTCATAAAAATCACATTGAATGCCTCCATGAAGCTCTTTCAAACACGGTCAAAAAAGGTTGTGCTTCCCTCTAATTACACACCTGTTGTTCCAAGTCTTTGTCTACCTATATACTCCTCCAAACCCCCACTCCACCCAGTGGTCAAAAACAGCATTACAACAGACATTTATAATAATCAAATGCAGTATAAATCAAATAGTGGAAAATTAGATGAAAATATCAATTAGCAAAAAATTAATAGCAAAAAAAAAACTACTTTTGTGAGCCAGTAAAGTAAATTGGGGTCCTTGGGTTTGCTATAACCCCAGGGCTCAATGTGTTCTTAATCCAGCCCTGACCATAAGAGCTGTGTGAAGTATGAACCAGAACTATGTAAAGTTCCAGATTAATGATATTTTTCTGTGTGTGTTTATTACAGGAGTGATGGACAGTCCTGTCTTGTCACGGTGCTGCCGTAGCCTTATTGGCTGTTGACAATGCATAGAGGCAATAGTGGACGAGGGCCAAGCCTGTATAAAATGCAGGTCTGCAGTGTCAGGAGATTCTATTGTGGTTGTGGCTGGCTTGTCTGAGGTCCTAAGTGTCATTAAGGCCTTAGACGAACAGTACAACTCATGTTGAAGCTGTCAACTGAACCTATAAGCTGATTTCTGGGTCTGGCAAGAGCACATTTGATTAGAAGGAATCATTTAATTGGGTTTGGCCATTTGCATTTTTTTAATGCTTTACCTATTAAAAGCTTGACTCTTCTGTTGTGGCATTTTGTTCTAGATGGGAACTTTTCATTTTGTCAATCTTCTAGTCTGATATGGCTAGGATCTGTAGTCTTCTTTCAGTGTAATCAAGGAACTTTGCTGCTGCTCCATGATTGTAACAGGTGTAATATTACGCAATGCTGTTACCTAGCTGGGAACAATTTTCAAATGCTTGCGTTTCTTTAGCTACAGCCATGGTATGGCAGCAAAATACTTTCAAAATTAAACTGGAATGTGTACAGAACCGAGCCATATCTGCCTGAAAACAACAATTTAATTTTCTGTTGGTCTTACTACAGAATGTGATGACAAATGTCAAAATTTAAATAGGAAAGTCAGAACTTTTTTTTTTATTAGCAAGATGCTATTGGTCTAATCTAATTCAATGATCTATGCTAAGCTAAAGCCAACTCCCCCAACCCCCTCATTTCAAATGTATGTATTAGTTTGTATGCATGTTTATATGCAGTTTACACAATACAGTACGTTAGTGTTATTACCACCTTTTTCATACAGTTTGTGATTTAAAGACATTCTGTTGGCATGTTTGAGAATAAAAAAACTTTCATTGAATTTGTCATCAGCAGTACGTTTTGCTTAATGCTTAATTCATTTGCAGTATGCTTAAATACAAATCAATCTCAAATCATTTTTTGCAGAATACTTATTTTAATTTAACTACTGTAGTTACTATAACTGCTGGTCTTGCATTAAATACAGTGCATGCTACAGTAGACTACACCATATGTATTACAGTATTAAAAAATATATATACAATAACATTGAGAAATTTATTCTTGCACCTCTTTGGGTTATATCTGTGCACATCTTCTGGTGATGTTAATTAGCGGAGTTAAACAGTCTTGAGCAATGCTCATTCACAGTGTAGTTCAAGACGTCTCCAAGGTCAAAATAAAGAGAGTTAAATTCTGTCTCTGCCCTAATTTTATCCTCCTCGGACCGGAATGGGTCAATGCCAAATGCTGACGACCTGTTCAAACGCTGTCCCATTTCCTGATGGTACAATTCAGCAGCTTCTGAAGCCCTCGGCAAAAGTTCCTCGACAATCCTTGTTTTGCAGCCATCTCTTGCCAGCAGATTGGGGATGCCTTTACCTTGAAATCAAGGGTTTAGTTTTGAGGTAATAAAATAAACTATTGATTTTACATTAAAGCAAATCCTGGTTCACTCTTAATTCACCCTGGTCATAGATACCTACTGTTCCTGTAAATATTCTCCTGAAGGATTAGATTTAGGCGATGCAGTGGGTAGCACGTTCGCCTCACAGCAATAAGGTCGCTGGGTCGCTGATTCGATTCTCGGCTCTGTTGGTGTTTCTGTGTGGAGTTTGCAGGTTCTCCCTGCGTTCGCGTGGGTTTCCTCGGGTGCTCTGGTTTTCCCCAAAGACATGCGGTACAGGTGAATTTGGTAGGCTAAATTGTCCGTAGTGTATGAATGTGTGTGTGTTTCCCAGAGATGGGTTGTGGCTGGAAGGGCATCCGCTGCGTAAAAACTTGCTGGATAAGTTGGCGGTTCATTCCGCTGTGGCGACCCCAGATTAATAAAGGGACCAAGCCGACAAGAAAATGAATGAATGAGGATTAGATTTAAAGATAAACAACAGGAAGTGGTCTTGCAGGATCTTACTTGCGTGTATATGGGTAGTTATACGTGTGTGATGTCAAGTCATAGGTGGATTTACAGCAAAATGTAGAAAAGTTCATCAATTTTTGGTCTAAACAAATGTTAAGGCACTGTAACATAGCTGTAATATAATGATGTTAATAATGTTCCATGCATTAACAAATCTCTGCACCCCAATCTGGCTGATCTGGCATGTAAGGTTGGACAAACAGTATCTTGTCAACCCATCTTCCTTATCCAAAGACTCCTGGTCAACCATCTGAATGAGTGCTCTCTTGATTGGACAATTGACCCACTTATTACTTCAGGACACATTCTCTCTACAGAGTGGTTTTATGGAGTTAAAGCAAAGTACACTATGTAAAAATGTTACACACTATAAAATGTTGTCAGTTTGATGATTTAACAAGTATTGGGAAAAAAAAATTACAATATTTTAATAAATGATACAGTAGACCAGTGTTTTTCAAAGTCTAAGACAGTGGGCCTCCCTTTTGACACAACTTATCCACTGGTGCCCCCCTCCTCCCAAACATGCACGCACGCACGCACACACACACACACACACACACACACACACACACACACACACACACACACATATATATATATATATATATATATATATATATATATATGTATATACACACAGTATATATAAAGACACAGACAGATGTCAGACTGTTAACTCACTTTTATCATCATTTGCATGAAAGTGCAATTATTTACAGAGTAACAAGTATTTTAATATAACACTTTTAAAACTAGGATGATGATTAATATGAATAGAACAGATCAAAGAACTGTCCATCCCAGTCAAAACAGTCGAAGTTTAGCGGGTCTCATGCTGTCATTAGCCAAAATATCTTGACAAACCACACATAAAGGTCGTGGTTCATGAGCTGGTCCTGTCCACGTAAATCCTAAACTCAAATACTGATCATCATATCGTCGTCTTTTGGGTTTAAGCCCTGAACTTGAAGGCTTTGAATCGGGGGGTCTCAGAAACCGATCCGTTGTATTAGCAGGCATATACCTGTATTGGCGGGCTTGCCGAACAGAAGCGAATTCACAGCTATGGCCTTCTGGGTAAAAAAGGTTTTCTTATTTTTGACGTATTATTTTTGTAGCTTTGTTTAATTAAAACTTTTAAATATAATAAAAAATACATATAATAATTAAACTTAATAATTATATATTTATTATTATTTTTTTCCCGCGCCTCCCCTGACATGCTCTGGCGCCCCCCAGGGGAGGCGCGCCTCACACTTTGAAAACCCCTGCAGTAGACAAACATATCCCTGCATTTGGTTTGGCATTTGTGATTCATTAAAATGTATTTAACATGATGAATAGCCTTAGTTCTGAGAGCGCAACTTCTTATAAATAGGCTATTTATGCATCTAGGGCTGAAGTTGTAATAACTGTAGTAATTATGTGTAACTGTACTTTATTCAGTCGTTCAAAAGTGTAGATAGAAAAAAAAACAAACATTGGAAAATAGATTGTTTTATTCTTACCTGTACACCTCTTCATAAATGGTTAAATTGTTCTTAATTGGCGTCGTGGAATGGCCAACAATTATCTTGCTGAAGCCATCAATAGCGATAACATGTGTGACTCCAAACATGCAAAGCTTCTCATTTTGGTCCATGTGGAGTTTGTGACCTACATACTCTGCGTTGTATGGGACTGGATTTAAATAAATAATAAAGTATGAACTACATAAGACTACTTTACACATCCTGTACTATTGCAGTCTAAAAGTACAATATATTTTCAACTTTCAACTTTTATGAAGACTGGTTACGAAATACACTGATGCATGATTCCACACTGTATAATCATTTACATGCAAAGACAAGATGACGTGTTTTACATTATAAATAAATGCATCATGCCATCCAACATCCCTGGCATCGAGCCCGGTGATATGGTTCATGCATCTGTGTTGATATCTGTCCCACTCCAACCTCTGCTGCCTGCACACCTTGTGCAGCAAGGTAGCCTGTCATCATTTTGCGGCCATAATACGGTCCTGTCTGTAAATAAAATAGGAAAAAAATAATAGTTATTATGACATAAGAATATTAAGTAAATATAATTCATTGCTGTTATAAAGGTCAATATCTTTTTAAGAAATTAGTAAATAGTGTTTTTATTCGTTAAACAATATTGTACATATAACATTTAACCTAATTTGCTTTTAACTTTTTTAGTGAACCAGCCAAAACTTATACCCATCTTAAAACAGGCTCGTCAAGTTGAATTTACCTGGTAACTCAGGCAGCTTAGGCTGGTTTATACTGTTTAGCAGATGAGATTTTTAAGGCTCAATTCTTAAAAAGGTTAAAGCATTTAGGGAAAATACTCACCTCTATAACTGCCCTTGAAACCGCCAACTTTAATTCCTCGTCTGAGATGCTTTTTCTTTTAACGCCTCTTTTAGAACGACATTTTCGTAAATTGAGTTCTGAATTCCCCCTCTGCATTCCTAGCTCCGATAAATGATACGAAATTTCAGTATCTGTGTGTCCATTTTCGTACATACTCATGATCAAGTCTTCATATGCAGTTAGACTGTTGTCAACAGATAAGTGGCGACCGGAGTAAAATCTGCGTTCATAGAATAGAGGTTACGTAATGACGGTAGGCCAGGGGCGGACTGGGACTAAAAATCAGTCCTGGCACTGTTGCTATACCAGCCCACATTACCACACCGACACAGCCCCATGCACGGACACGCACATTCACTACTTATATTGGTGTACAGATGGTGAAATAATATAAGCAGTACCATATATGTAATAGATATTTAAACCTTTAATGTATGTGACTGGAACAAAAACAAATTTATATATGCAATCGTTTCATTCATTCTTTATCTTTTCAGCTTATTCCCTTTATTAATCTGGATCACCACAGCGGAATGAACCACCAACTTGTCCAGCATATGTTTTACGCTGCAGATGCCCTCCAAGGTGCAACCCACTGTGAAACCTCTATACACACACATTCAGATACATGCACTATGGACAATTAAGCCTACCCAGTTCACCTACAGCACATGTGTTTGGACTTGTGAGGGAAACCAGGAGGAAACCCACGCGAACGTCCAAACTTCACACAGAAACACCAACTAACCCAGCCGAGGCTCGTAAAAGCAACCTTCTTGCACCCCTGCGCTGCTCTCTTTCGAGACTATTTCAGTAAATTTTAGGCATTTGGCAGGGTTTTAATTTTTTCTTTCATCACCGCCCTCCTTTTATATGGTCCATTTCTGACAATTAGCTTGTGTTGCACTTACTATTTTTTGACATTCTTGCCACAATTTGACTACGTTTGCGTAACCTCTAATTGGGTCTGTCCATCTTGACCAGCCGGTCATTGTCAATTGGGCCAATGCTTAACATTTATTATTATTATTACTATTATCATCATCATATTAATACTCACATCTTGCAAGAGATAAAAGCTGCCTGCATGTAAAAGCAATACATTAAAAAATAAAAATAAAAAATAGCTGATCAGCCCACATTTACAAAATGGTCCGGCCCTTCTGGCATTTGCCAGAATTGCCAGATGGCCAGTCCACCACCACCTACTGGATAGGAGTTCTGCATTAAAACCATTTTAAGCGAAGAAAAAAAAATACCACATAAATAAATATATGATATTATATTAATTAATCCTGTTTTTTTTAACTTTTAAATATACTTCAAAGATCTCTTGATGACTTTACCCTTTCCTAATTATACATTTGATGACTTTACCCTTTCCTAATTATACATTTTCAGCTATAAATCATGATTTAACCTTGATTTATCTCTTTCATATGCTGCATACTCAAAAACAATTTCATGTTTCTGGATTCTCATATTTTTCACAATTACCGAATAATCCCCCAATTATTCCCACAATTTTTTTTTATTGAAT